TTATGTGATTTAATGAAAACAGTGATCCAATGTGAAATAATGAAAAATATGGATCCGCATAACATAGCTCTAAATTCTGGGCTAAAAAGTTCCTCTTGCATCATAAAACGAATATACACCGACCACTCTATTCAGAGTAAGTGATTATACAGCATATTAAAGACATTTGTATATAATGTCTACTAAGAATATTAACATTCTATTTAATCTCTTTAAGATACTAAATCTATTTGGCAGGTAAATTTCAGTAGAAACAAAGTGAACTTCTTCTGAAATACCAGAAAAAAGTAATTACTCATGAGAGAATTCTTTTTAAAAACTGAGACTTTTCATTACCAATAGTTTAAAAGTTTGGTAGTTTATAAAGTGAAACATTACCTGAATTTCCCTTGCGTGGTATACAATAATAAGACCAAGCAGAATAATCGTGGAGAGGCTAATAAGGCATTTTAGAGCTAATGAATACAGCGACTCCTGCAACAGAAAAATATTTGAGTGTCCATGAAAAGATATACACCTTTATTAAGATTTTTTGTCCTTCACCCTTCTGAACTGTGATGGGGCAAAATCTATCTTCCATAACAAATACCAGGATAACTGTCTTGATTGATCTCTTTTAAGGATAAAGAATAGGTGCCCTAAATTAAAAAAAAAATGCTACATTGTCATTGTTTTAGCAGCAGGTCCAGTACTGGTGGGGCAGCCAGCAATGGAAAACCAGCTAACTTAAGGGACTGCCAAAAGGATGGAGAACTCCAGCCCCCAGTTTCTCTGGAGTCTATGGCTTTAAGTATATCCAAAGAGTCTGACCCTGGTTGGCAGAATGAAGAGTTGATCATGGCGACTTAAGCTGCTGATTTTAAAGTGCAATTTTCTGTTCAAGTTGTTCTGAAATCCCTTCTCTCCCTCCTCCTCCTCCTCTGTCCTTCTCAATCTTTCCCTCCCGGGTTTGGAGGGCATTTAGGAAAGGAGCAGAGCCTAACGTACACTGGTGACAGTGGTAGGTGGGACTGGCCGCCAGGCGCAATTAATGTCGAAAGTACAGTATCTGCAGGGCATGCAGCGCGGGGGGCTGTTCTCCGCAGGGGAAGGCAGGCAGGACACACCGCGCACCTGGCGGGGACCTAGGAGAGGGCGCGAAAGGCAGATGGCGGGAGGGGCGGGCAAGGACGCTGGTGCACCAGCCGCGGCAGGAGCAAGAGGGGCGCGTTGGAAGGGAGGCGAGCGGGGAGGGGCGGGTACCTTGGTGTAGGCGCCCCAGGACAGCTCGGTCTCGATGACCATCACCACGATGCCGAACATGCCGAAGATGAGCGCGTAGTCGCTGAGCCGCTTGCGCTTCTCGAAGAGCGCCCGGCGGTGCCCCAGCTTGTACCCGATGTTCTGGTTCTTCTTCTTGCTGGACTTGCTGCCGCTGTTGTTCTGGCTGCTGCCCCCCGCGCTGCCCCCGGGGCCGGGGCCGTGCAGCG